CAGGGATCGGGACTGAAGCTCAGCGGTAGTGGGGCTGCACCAATGGCTTCATCTTCTGCTGCCGATACAGACGCTGCCAGCAGTACCCCTGTCTCGGGTGCTGGTGGTGGTGTTGGCCCAAGCAGCAGCCCGCAGTTGTCTCCGGCGTCCAAGACGATCCTCCCGCTGGTGGAAGTGAGGCAGGAGAAAGGGAGGAGGCAGGCTCAGCATGCTGCGGCGAAGAGCCGTCAATGTCGAGTGTGTGTTCCCAACCGCCACAATTTTCTGCGGGGTCGGCAACTCTCACCGTGGAAGAGAGGGATGGAAAGAAAGGCAGCGCGTCAGTTACAAATATTCAGAGCGAGTGGGCACAACAGGAACGAGAAGGGCCACACGTGCTCAGGACGGGGGAGAGCGCACGGAGAACTCCAGCACCAGCGCCAGCAGGGACAAACAGCACATGCGACGCAGCCGTCCGAGGACTCAGCAGAGCATGCGGCTGCACCCAGCTCGGGTCTCACACGGGGCGCATCGAACGGCGACAGTCAAGAGCAAACACCGCAGCCTCAAACAGCGACTGACGCTGAACAGAGTGTGTCCGTGGTACAGGGAGTGCCAGAATGGGCTCAGGAGGACCAGGGGATGTGGTGAAAGGAGCAAAAAGAAATCCGTAATGTTTGACTGGCAGCGCGCACAATGCAGAGCACGCACCTGCGGCTGAAGCACCCGAATGACTGTCTGATTCAGGCACCAGTCGTTCCCCTGGACATCCGGGCACAGAGTCTGCTTCAAAGTCGCTCTCTGGAAATTATCGAACGTTTACGACCGGTGCAGCAGAACAGGGAGAAGCACGGCCAATGCCCCTGCGACAGCCAAAACCGCCGGCACAAGGAGGTGCAGAGGAGGAAGCTGCACCGGAAGAAAAAAGAAGCATTGGAGGAATTGCCGCCAACAGCAGCAGAATAAGAGGCGCCAGCAGACCCATCAGAACCGCCACCGAAATCACCACCACACAGCGCACTGCCATCCTCAACGGAAGTCCCAGCGACCATGAAGCCAACAGAAGATCTGCAGAAAAGGCACTGAACCAACAGCGGGTGCAAGGCAGAATGCAATAACTGAGGGTCAGGCTGAGACAGCTTCACCATCTTCTTCTGCGGATGCTGCTGCTGCCGCCAATGACGCTGACGCGGGCAATGCGTAGATTTTGAACGGTGGTTCCGCATCTCATGCCGCTGTGCCGGAGGGAGAACACCAACATGAACGAGAGGATGGCAGCGAGAAGGAAACAACATCATCTACAGCCACAGACAAAACGAATAACCCAGCGGCGCCTGGCGACAGCGACAGCAGCACCGCGGTCTCCCACACCACCTCCCCTCCTTTGCTTCTTGTTGTTGCGTGTGCGGCTGCGGTGGTGGCCGCGTGAGAGTGAGGGAGAGAGAGCCGTGCACCGCCCGCACACACACTCGTCCTTCACTCTCTGTGTGTGTGTCCCCTTGCATGGACTCTCGCCCTCACCTCACCCCACGAAGCACACACAATAATGTGCCCATTGTATATATGCATGCACACCCATGCAGGCCCGTTGGTGCTCTCTTTTGCACGACACGCACCGCTGCCGTCCTGCCTGGCTGCATGGGCGGAGCACCGTAACTGTTTCTGTTTTGTTTTTATTGCATTGAGTGGGCGACCTCTCTCTCTCTCCCTCTGTGTGTGTGTTTTGCTTTACGGGAGTAATGAGAGTGTGTGCGCTGGTCGTCCCACGCTTCGGCTTTCTGTTTTGTTTTTCACGTGTGGTTTGGTTGAGTGCACACATTTCATTGCCCTTTTTTTTGATTTTTGGCTTGCTTTGACGGTGGACGCCTAAATTGTTTGCTTTTGTGTATTATTATACTGTTCCTTTATTGTTGAGAGAGTGTCAGCCTCTTGTATTCTTGTAACGCCACTGAGTTTTTTTTTCTTTTACATACGCCATGCGTCATTTGATTCACGTTACTCTGCGGCCTGCATTGCTTTTGGTTCTGCTTGTGATGATGTTTGTGCTGTGATTTGTCGGCGGGTGTCTTGCTGCCAGTCTGACTTATCCTTCGTTTCGTGACGATTTGTTGCGTACTGACGGTGCGTGGGCGTCTCTGGTGATAGTGAGGGCCGCATGTCTCAGAGCGCAGGATGCGTCGCGGGTGTGCGGCGTCGTTTGGAAGTACCGATGGGTGACCATCCGCATCCAGGCGTCATCAACGGACTGTGAGGGCAGCAGGAGGCACTGCGGCTTCTTTTGGCTTTGCACAAAGAGTTTATTGGACGGTGCGTTTGTTTTCAATCTTTGCAGCTTTGGTGGGGAAGGTGGGAGGCTGAGGACATGAGGACTGAATTCATTTGTGTGGCTGCGTTCCGTTGAGTTGCGGCCAGTCGTGGCGCTCTTTTGGGGTTTGGCCGCTCGTCTCTTTTTTACTTCCCACCGCAGCACGTGGAGGCCAATGATCCGAGGAACTTTTGTTTGACCGCGTGTAAGCTGCTGCCGTGCGTGGTGCATTGACTATGTGATTGTGTGGGGAGGTGCATGGAGTGACGAATGCTTCTGTTTGGCGTGTCGCGGTGTGTCGGAATGATGTTCGGATGACATTTGAGGGGTGTTGTTTGTGGTTTGTGTGTCTTCTCTGGTGGAGCCGACATGTGTGCGGGGTTGTGGCATTGCTGGCTGACAGTTCCACGTCACTTTTCGGCATTCCTGGATGTGCTGAGGAATGACGGCTGGCGACCAGCGTGTTGGTGCTGCTGGTGGGAATAAGTGCATCGGGAATGGGCCACTTTCTCTTTCCGTGCTGGAGCCGATGAACTGGCACGAGGGCACCGGCTGCAGGCTGCCTGCCAGCACGTGTGAGCAGCGGATCCATGCACACACCGACGCCCATCGCAAGAGCTTGTGCGATCACGGTGGCTTTTGTGGCGTGCTTTTGTGAACGTCAGCCCGTCGGAGAATGTGTGAAGCAAACGGCTGACTGCACACGAGGAAAATAGGTGCGTGCACTGTGCTGTGTTTCGGCGTCGATGGCAGGGCGGCAGGAAGCCCGTGCTGGCAACTGAGATGTTTGCGTGGCGAGGGATGTCGGTGTTGATTTTGGATTGTCGAGGGTGAAGTGATTTTGCTGCTGCCCGTGTGTGTGGCCACTCCGGCAGAGGGCGGACGCAAAAGGGAGGGATGCAGGCGCTGCGTGTGTGTGTGTGCAGGTGCCATGCAACAACGTCACAACAAACATGCTGCGACTCGGTGACCCTCACATCGTTGTGGTCCTCACGAACAGCCGAGGCACGGCCCACACCGATGCACTTAGTGGCCGGAGTGAGGCATCTTTTGAGGTGCTGCAGGGAGCAGGATGTGTTGACGCAGCCACGACGTGCATGGAGTGTCACGATGGCACAGTGAGCTGTGGCTGGTGGAATATTTACTTCTCGGAGGCAAAAGAGAGAGAGAGAGCTGCTCCTGCTGCTGGCGTCGTTGCTGCCTTTTGTGGCCTCCCATGCCGATTATTGTCTGTCCGCTGATCATGGGTGGCATGCCTCCACTAGTGACGTCGTCTGCAGGCATTCCACAGCACCAATGAAGCACACATCACGTCGCATGCTTTGGCTGTGGATATGGTGTCTTGAATGCCGCCGGCATTATTTTGCCCGACTCCTTTTCACTGCTTTGCGACAAATAGATGCGTCGCCGCCCGAGTCATTCACTGCAGCTCCGTGTGTTGTACTGCCAGCACAAGACTCTCCTGTTGTCTGACGCCTGGCTGACAGTCCAACACCACTGCGTTGGGACATGCAGGGATGTGGACTGCCGCTCACGGTGTTGGGCACCGCTGTTTGGATGCGGCGGCCACACGAGCGGATGTATTGTGGCACAATCAAATGCGTGAAATACGCGGAACCACAGCGGCTGCAGTAATATCAGCGGTGTGGCACCACGGAGTATGTGAGGGGGTGATGCATGATGAATCACGGTGGGCGGCATGCGAGGGAAGTGCACCGCGACGGAGCGTCATCCCGCCCTCAGCCTGCAAGGGAATGTACGCCCACAAAATATATGGACGAGGCACCACCAAACACACATGCCCTTCTGTGCAGCAATAAATAGGAGCGAAGGTGCGTTCTGGTGTGTGGGAGTCCACTCACATATTTTTATTCCCACCGCAATAAACGGCGAGGAATCAGGTGCCACGGCAACGAAAGGAAAAACAAACATCTATTGCAGCACTTTACCAGCGAAAGGCAGGAACAACACACACCGAATTATTGGCTGCACCAACACAAGAAAAATTCACGAGAGAAAACAAATAATTGCGCACCTTGCGGAAATTCTTGAAACACACGATCCAGGCATGAAGGTTTGCTCTCTGAAAAAACAAAATGAAAAAAAGCATGCAGACATCCGCCAACATCCAAACAGAAACACAGATAAATGATTGCTTTCTTTATGCCATTCCTTGCGCTTGTTTTTGCGCGTGCGGCTGCTGCGGTGGTGGCCGGTCTGCACTAAATTGAGTGCGATGAATGTGGACGAAGGCCTACTGCAAATGAACTGCTTGTGGTGAATATTGGCTGCACTTCCCGTGGACCAACAATCCACGTGGTGTGCGGGGATCTCCTTTTGTATTGTTACTTTGCTTTTGTGTTGCTGTGTGCGCTGCACCTTCTTGTGTGTGTGCGCACCCTCCGTGAGGGGTGCCGACACGACGGACCGCTCTCGCCGCATGTGCATGCGGTGGAGCCTTGTGTGCCGCTCCTGTTTGCTTCTCCCTCCTCCATCTGTGTGTTGGTGTTGCGGCAGGGCTGCGTGTGTGTGCCTGCTGCCGTGGATTGGAGTGTGTGTCGTGCGTGGTGTGCGGCGTACGGTGCATGCCTGGCTGCTGCCCTCTCCTCATGTGGTGTGCCCTCTGTGTGTCTGCCGCACCTCTCGTCTCCCCTGTTGCTCTCCATGTCCCTCACTCTGCAGATCAGCTCCACACCACTGAACGACCACACTCACGATGATGATGACGTGCCGTCTGCTGTGCGCCCTGTTGGTGCTTGCCCTGTGCTGCTGCCCGTCCGTGCACGCAGGAAACACTCAGGAGGCCACTGAAGACCAAGGTGATGCAGAAGACCCCAATTCTTTGCCTGTTTCACCTAAATCTAAGGCAGCTGCATCTAATGGAGACGCCGCCGGTTTAGCGGCCGCTGCACCAGGAGGAATACCAGGGAACAGTCAGCCAGTGTCGTCAAGTTTGGGGTCCACTGAGCAACAGGAAAAAGGTGCCGTAGAGGGAGGTCCGACCGTTACGGTACCGCAAGGAAATGCCGAGTCCGTTAAGGTACAGAGAGACGATAAGGACAGTAAGACAGGGACGACGCGTAGCACAAGTACGCCCACAGAGAAAATAGTTAAAGAAGCGGAAGATACCGCAAAGACGACCACGACCACTACCACAACAAAATCACCAACCACGACAACCACCACTACTGCGCCAGAGGCACCAAGTACTACAACTACAGAGGCGCCAACAACGACGACCACCCGCGCACCGTCACGTCTTCGCAGAATCGACGGCAGCCTCAGCAGCTCTGCGTGGGTGTGTGCCCCGCTGCTGCTCGCCGCATCCGCGCTGGCGTACACCGCTCTGGACTGAAGAGGTGTGTGCGGGCTGTGCGTGCCAGCACTCAACCGCGGGGATTTGTTCGTGTGTGTTGTGGTTCACTGTATAAAATAAGAGGAAATAATGATTGTGTTTTGCTTCACTTGCTTCTGCTGCCGTGCTGTGTGCTCCGCGTTGTGCCCCGCATCCGCCACGTTGAACGCATCGCGGACACACTCATATGCATGCGCACTGGAGCCCTGGGTTTGTTTTCTTTTTTAATTATTGTTTTTATTGCTTTTTAAACTTGTGGTTTGCGGTACGGTGTGCGAGCTCTGCAATCGTACTGATTCCATCTGTCTCGTGGTGTGTGCGCTGCTGCTGCTGGGGTGCTGTCATTTGTTGCTGTGCGTGGTGTAGCGGCTGTGTCTCCTTTTGTTTTTCTCGTGCTATCGCAGGTTGGCTCCGCAGCGTTAGGCAACTCCACTGTTTGTGATGATGACTGGCCGTGTGCTCTGCGTCCTGTTGGCTCCTGCAGTGATGTGCAGCTGCTCGTGCGTGTGAGTGAGGGCTGCTGCGACGGGGTGCGTGTGCGTCCGCGGGTGATGGCTGCGGAAGGTGGACCCGTGGCCGGTTGCTCTGGACGAAGGGGAATGTGAACTCTGAGGACAATAGCAATCAGGAAGATGAGGAGGGTGGAGGAAACACCGTGGGTGAGGACCCCAATCCCACCTCTGGAGGACCACTCACTGCTCCGACGAGACAGGACCAATCCAGCAGCGACCCACTGCGAAGTGGCACTTGCAATCCGTCCGGCACTGGCAGCGCGTCTGCTGCTCGGATGCGTGCAAGTGGACCGGAGTCTTTGGACGGAGGGCACGCCGCAGGCACAACATCCCCACGCTCCGACGCGTCTCAGCAGGCAGCGTGTGGAGTGCATGCTGGTGGCGGGAGGACCTCCCAGGGCAGTCGGGCTTCGGAACAAACCGTCACGGGACAGTCACAGGTGCCAGGGACGGCGAAGGAAGCACCGCAGGGCGATGAAGGAGGAGAACCCGGAGCACAACACGAGGCCGACCAAACCACAAAAATGACTGTGGTGACCGCTTGCGCAGAAACAGCGGTGGAAGAGGAGAGCCGCCAGCGGGATCGCAAGATGCACCACGTCTCTATAGTGGCGGGAATGCTCATTATTATTATTATTTTTCTCTTACCGACATGTCTAGCCACACGATGTCATCAGGGTGCCGAGGGGATGGTCGAGCAGCGACATGAGTTTCCTGCTATGAGGCAGCTGCCATTGGGAGAAGCTTTCGGCGCGAAGGTCCTTCTTGATGCCCAGCCGTTGGCGCAGAGCCAGAGCGTCTGTACCTTCCGGAAGCAGATGGCGCAGTGTTTTCTGCGGGCTAATTGTTGCGCTTGTGGAGGCTGGCTGATCCTGCGGTAGCAGTGATTGCCTCCTGGCACTGCTGCTGCGGTGTCGAGTAGCGTCTGGGTTTTGTGCGCAGCGATTTCTGTGCTGTGCTGTGCCTTTTTTTGTGTGGGGAGGACCGTGTCGCAGCAATCGCGGTGGAGGTCGGGAAGCGGTGGAGGGTGTTCCGGATGAAAGCACCGACAGTGACCGATGTGGTTTGTGTGTCCCACCAGTGTGGCGTCACAGTGCGGGCATTTCTTCTTTCGACGCTCTGTGGAGGGCCGTCTCTCCACAGGCGGTGCGTCGGCCTCCCTTGTTGTCGGGGGAACAGCGTCCGTCCCGGTGCGGTGGGATCGTCGTTGGAGCGCATGAAAGCAGGCTATTCCGGTGAGATGTTGCGGAAACGGCGTTGGCTCGTGCAGTCTCTCACAGTCCAGTACAGGCGACCCCAGAGCTCGGATTCCCCGCACCCTTCCCTTGCAGTGTGTATCTGTTCCTGTTGGTCGAGGGCCTCCTGAGTGATCAGGTGCTTGCCGCCTGGATCTGATGGCCTGGCGCCGCCAAGCAGGTAGTGGTGGGTGTCCTGATGCATGGTACCACGCCACTTGTTGGTGAGCTGGGTGTTAATGCATGACAGCAGGTCCGTGTGCCATATGGGTGCTATTCCATGCTCCGTGTGTTGCCCGGTTGCCGTGGTCTGCGTCGCATGCTGATCTGCAGGCTCGTTAACGTGTACTCCGCAATGTCCGTAGCAAAATGCAGCTGCACGGACCAGCCAGCACGCGTCAGCGACAAGAGACGCTGCCGGATCCGATCCTCCGTCCATTCGGTATGACTGAGCGGGCCCTTGGTGACGGCGTCTAGAAGGGAATGACTGTCTGTAACCACAAGCAGGGTTTTACGCCTGTGCTGGATACGATGGACACTCAGCCTTTCCATGGCCGGGAGCAGTGCGCGGGACTCCGTCGTGCGACTGCATGGGCGTGTGCCGCCGTTGGTACTGACCTTCTGTATTATCTCCGAGGAACGCGGGGATGAGAGCAGTATGCCAATCCCGGCTGACGTGGGAATGTCAATACCGCCATCCGTTGCGAGTATCCACGGTCCCCAGCGATGATGTTGCGCCTTGTCGCGGTGTTGGGCTTTGGTTGCGTATAGGAACTCCGCAGCAGGGCGTTGCTGCGAGCACGACGGAGACCAAGGTGACTTCATTCCCCGAGAAGGTTCCACGCCATGCCCGGTGTGGGGAGGTGAGGCGGTCTGCCTGCAGACTGTCGGACAGAACTGCACGACCGTTTCGCAGCGGTCACTCCGTTGATATCACCCGTGGCGGTTAAGTTCACAAGAACCCTGGCCCGAGGAGGATGGCTTCAACAATATTTGGCAGCTCAACATTGCAGGCCTCTCGTCCGTGAAAAAGATTGCATTTGCGGCGCGATTGGGGCAGCGCCCACCTGACACCGTTCTTCTGCAGGAAATAAGTAACCGTGGTGGCGTGGCGACGAAATTATGTGGCCATAATGACTGCCTTCAGGCCTCACTGGGCGCGGTGGTGGTGTTGCCGTTCTGGTGCGCCACTCTCTACCGTGCGAGCGCCTGTCGCTCCCTGGCACTGACCTCCTGGAGAACATTGCTGTCCGTGTATTTCCACTGGGCTGTCGCAGCATTTGCGTGGCGAATCTCTGCAACCCTCCCACAGCAATTGGTCAATAATCCGCATCTATCAATATCGTTTGTCGCTTGTGTCCGAAGAGATTATCGCGGGTGACCTGAATTTGCATCGTGAACTCTCGGACAGTCATATATACCATCAAGGACTGGAGGCGATGATTTCGCCGCTGTTCTAATCGATATGGATTTTGGGCAGGCAAATTACCCGGCGCAGGCAACACGGATCACACATCGTAATGCCTCGTCCCCTGACGTGACTGCGTATTGCGCCCTACGCATCTCCCACTGGACATTCGCCCCTTACATGGACTCGGACCATTGCTGAATATCTTACTTGGTAGAGATGGACGATGGCACTCCACGACTAGCAAACACGCTGCTTTGACGGAAGAAAGCCACCTTTGCCCTGCGCAAAGCGGGTTGGCCTGCTTTTACATCGTTGTGTGAAACCCTCCTTGCCACCGCGTCCACATGGTAGGATCCTCGCGGAGGCATCTTACGAGCAGCTGAGCGCCACATCCCGCGCGGCAGCCGTGACAGCTCCAAAAAGATATGGACACACGAAATGGAACAAGCCGAGTCCGCCGCCGAAGCAGCACACGAAGCACACACATTGCCTCACCCGGAGACAGCCTACTTTGAGCCGAATGTACCCGAAAAAAGGGAGGAACGAAATCAAGCCTTACGCCGTTGCTCCGCTGTGCTTCTGGAAGCCCGCGCGAAAGGACTTGGAGCCTCACCCAGTCCGAGGTGGCGATATCTTCACGGCATGGCGGCGCCGCACCCTCATCCTCTGGAATCGGTTGTGCTCCGCACTGAACTTGGCCGCGTATGCGCCCTGCCTCGGCAACAGGCAAATCTGCTTTTCCGTCATTTTGTGCGGTTTCACGTGCCATACCGCCTTATACTGCTGCTGCTGCTCGCTGCACTCCTTTGGTTCCTGGTGGCTGGGAAATGGATCGACCTTTCCTGCCGTATGTACTTGACGTGGCCATCCGTGACTCCTTGCCTGGCTCAGCCCCTGGCCCCGACGACATGTTGAATGAATTCCTGCACCGTCTCGTGCCCGTTGCGCGTGGCACACTTAGAAAGATGATCCACAACTCCTTCGCAAATGGCAGCCTGCCTGGCTCCTGGAAAATGGGAGATGCTATTCCTATCCCCAAGCCTGGGAAGGATCCATGCCGCCCAGAGAGTTACAGACCCATCACGCTGCTCTCTGTTTTACCAAAGTTAACCGAAGGAATGATTCACCGCCGTCTGTCAGCGTTATTGCCGCACCACCCACGTCAATTTCGGATTTGCACCTCCGCGTTCTACGTCGGACGTGGTGGGACTTGTTATCGACACATTACCCTTGGATTGAATGAGTTTGGCATTGTGGAGTATGAGCGCCCTGGAGACGACGCCCCCACACGACGCCCTCGTCGCCATCGCTTGTGGTCTCGATTGATTTTCCGACTGCGTTCGACACCACTGACCATGGGAAGTTATTCTGCATGCTTGACAGACTTCCGTGCCTTGGCCACGAACCAAACGCTGGCTGCACAACTACCTGCGGGGCCGCTATGTTAGGGTATGCACTCGCGAACAGCACTCCCGGAAACAACTCGCCTCAGCTGGAGCACCGCAAGGCGGCGTCCCGGGACCCCAACTCTTCCTCTACTGTGTGGATGATCTGCTGCGCCGCCTGGGCAGCATCTATTCTGCCTCCGCATTCATGTACGCTGACGAACACACACTTGTTGCCTCATGTGCGGACATCCATGCCTGCGCTGCGGCAATGCGACCGCTCTTGTCTCTTGTGGCCACATGGGCTGTCGAGCACAGCCTAAAAATCAACGTCGCTAGGAGCGAAGCTGCTCTATTCCACATCTCTTCACACACACACGGTCTGACGAGGACATGGTCGATCTCCATCTTGTTAGCGGGAACCTGCGTATTCAGTCACGCCCAGTGCGCTTGCTGGACAACACGTTCGATCGACTTCTTAATTCTGTTACGCATGCTTCCACCGCTGCAAAGAGGACCATGCCACGCCGCCATCAGCCGCGTCTGGTCGCAGAGGCGGACGCGTCCCATCACACCATGCGATCCTTTTTGATTGGATGCGTGCATAGTGTGCTATTTCATAATGGCGAGGCAATTGTCCCGTGACTCGCCCCCACCCACCTCCATAATATGGAAGTACGGTACCGCGACGGTAGCAAAACATTCTTGGCCTGAGCGCCTCTACGGAAGACACATCTGTCTATTTGGAGGCCAATATTCTTCCGCTCCGGAAGGTACTCTGGCGTCGTGCACTCACACAATGCGAACGCTATATACGCCTCCATGATCACGAGGATTTGCGTTCCCTTATCTACTCGCAACCTATGCCTTCGTCCATGCATGGGAAAGCGGCGACATCGATCCGCTTCCGAGAGATGCTGCTATTGATGGATTGCTACGCGTCTGTGACATTATTGGGACACCCCACAACCACATTCGCGCGCCTCTTGCCCAACATCGAATTTTCCCCTGGGACACTGTGAGCTGCAGCGGGGTGAGATTTTATCAGCCACTGTTTGCCGAAGACGCCTCTGACGATGTCGGGCGCACGGCTTTTTATTCTACTCACTCCTCTTTGGGGGATTGTGATTTTGAATTGTGGACGGACGGTCCTTCATATCTCGCTGCACTCGCATCTGGATCCGCTGCGCTATTATATGACTCCACCACGACAAATGATCTCCCTGTGGAGGTACATCGTGCAGCAGCTGGCAGCCTCGCATGCTCATATAGGGCAGACTGCCTTGCGATCGAAAATGTTTTTAGACATCTCATACCTCCTCGTCCGGGAACATCCCAATCGCCCACACGAATGCTGGAGGAAACGGACTCCCTCTCGGCAATGGAGGCACCCCGCGTTGCCCACCGACCGTGCGAGGCCGCGTTACTGAGTAAATTTGGATTATGCTGCTTTCCTTGGTGAAGCGAGGTCACCCTGTGGATTTTATATTTTCCCATCACACTACGTTATTCCACGCAGTGAGGCCGTTGACAAACAAGCCACGATTGCACGATCCCTCTCGCAGGACTGCGTCAATGCCTGGCACGTGGGCTCCCTTACCGCCGTCAAGAGGTTATAATGGAAGGATGCCCAGGAGGAAAAGGATGGCGCACACCGCGTGACAGGCGCCTGTCGGTGTGGCGAGGACTCTATTCCTGGTGCTGGCCCGGACATCGGTCCCCGAGTGGCGGCACCGCGCACAGGCGCGATGCGACTCCTGCCCACTCTTCGACAGGCCCGCACGCGCCCTGCGGATCACAAGGAACCCTCTGTGTCGGTGGTGCCGTTCCTCCCTCACTGCGGTGACCGGCCCGCCTCTGCCTCCGCCGGAACCTCTTCCCGACGTGAGCGCCGCAACTCCTTGTCGACCAGCGAGCGGCGGATTGACGTCCTCCTGCCCAACCTGCGGCAGAGTGCGCTTGTCCGTCCACAGTATGAGGGCACATGCCGGACGTGCTCAGCCTGGCGTTATAATAGTTTGCGAGGGCCTCCCATGCGGATGCCACAATGGCGCCACCGTCTTCTTAACAGATGCCTCGCGCGCAGGTCGCCACTGAGGGATTCAAGCATGCCAGCAGGCAAGAGACGCAGGAAGCACAAACGCGGGTACTCGAGATGGACCAGGCTCTTCCGCCACCGCCTCATCACGGACGCCACGGGCTGCTGATCCCCGACGGACCACGGGAGACTCCGCCCCATCCACTGCGGGAATGCCCTCGTCGTTGGGAACTGGACTGCGACTGTTTGTGACTGCCCCAGCCCGCACGACGGAATACTTGCCACTTTTGTACGGACGGCCCTTGCGCTACCCACTCGTTATTGTAGCAGCATACAACCGAAACAAGATAACAAGCTGCTTTGTGATGAATATTGGCTGCACTTCCCGTGGACCAACAATCCGCGTGGTGTGCGGGGATCTCTTTTTTTATTGTTACTTTGCTTTTGTGTTGCTGTGTGCGCTGCACCTTCTTGTGTGTGTGCGCACCCTCCGTGAGGGGTGCCGACAGGACGGACCGCTCTCGCCGTATGTGCATGCGGTGGAGCCTTGTGTGCCGCTCCTGTTTGCTTCTCTCCCTCTTCCATCTGTGTGTTGGTGTTGCGGCAGGGCTGTGTGTGTGCCTGCTGCCGTGGATTGGAGTGTGTGTCGTGCGTGGTGTGCGGCGTACGGTGCATGCCTGGCTGCTGCCCTCTCCTCATGTGGTGTGCCCTCTGTGTGTGTCTGCTGCACCTCTCGTCTCCCCTGTTGCTCTCCATGTCCCTCACTGTGCAGATCAGCTCCACACCACTGAACGACCACACTCACGATGATGACGTGCCGTCTGCTGTGCGCCCTGTTGGTGCTTGCCCTGTGCTGCTGCCCGTCCGTGTGCGGGGCAGATACTGATACTGAATCCGCTGACGTTACTGAGGATGTTGATGAAGCTGGTGGAGGAGGCGCCGAGCAATTGGCCACTGCAGTAGAGTTACCAAATGAAGAAACCGTTCCGTCAGGGTTGCCAGTTACGGTGCCTGGAGCGGATCAGGGAACAAATACCAGAGAGGGACAACGTTCGACCGATAAGTTGCCAGAATCAGATGAGGCGGCCGATACGGTGCAGCAAAAAAGTAAGAACGGTACGACAGGGAGAGAAACTGACGAGAATGCATCCACACGCAATACAGATAAGAAACACGAAGATCCTTTCACGATGACCAGTACGACTACAACACAGGCACCAACCATCACTACAACAACGACGACCACCACTGCGCCGGAGACATCAAGTACTACGACTACAGAGGCGCCAGCTGTGTCGACCACCCGCGCACCGTCACGTCTTCGCGAAATCGACGGCAGCCTCAGCAGCTCTGCGTGGGTGTGTGCCCCGCTGGTGCTCGCCGCATCCGCGCTGGCGTACACCGCTGTGGGCTGAAGAGGTGTGTGCGGGCTGTGCGTGCCAGCACTCAACCGCGGGGATTTGTGCGCGTCCACTGTGGTTCGATGTATAAATTAAGAGAAAACAATGATCTTGTTTTGCTTCACTTGCTTCTGCTGCCGTGCTGTGTGCTCCGCGTTGTGCCCCGCATCCGCCACGTTGAACGCATCGCGGACACACTCATAAGCATGCGCACTGGAGCCCTGGGTTTGTTTTTCCTTTCTTTAATTATTGCTTTTTATTGCTTTTTAAACTTGTGGTTTGCGGGGCGGTGTGCGAGCTCTGCAATCGTACTGACTCCATCTGTCTCGTGGTGTGTGCGCTGCTGCTGCCGCTGGTGGTTTTTACTCTGCCGTGTCTCTCCTTTCACTCTGCGTTGACGGGTTTTTAGTTTGTGCTGAAGGCTGCACGCAAGTGACAGGAGTGATGGCGATGATGACTGGCCGTGTGCTGCTGGTGTGTGCCCTCTGCGTGCTGCGGTGCGGTGCCGGCGGTGTCTGTACTGACGAGGAGGAGACAGCAGGTCGTGGGAGTGGTGCTGAACTTCCGCTGGGATCACAAGGACTTGAAACTTCTCCACAATATTCCCAAGGGTCACAAAGTAGAACACCAGGTGGAGAAGAAAATTTAACTCCCGTAGTTATAGAGGAAGATGATGATGATAATGATGATGATGGGGAGACAAAAGAGGAAAAAAAAAAAGTACTGAAAGGCAGAGTGTTCAAGAAGGAACAGTTGCAATAGGCTCAGATTCCAGGGAAAATAATTTAATTGGTAGCAGTGATCAGGAAACAGGCCAGTCAATTATATCTGCAGGAGGCATTTCTCATTTCGGCAGTCAGGAATGAAATACCAATTCTACGCAACCGGAAGTTGAAGGAAAGAAGGACACCGGCAAAAATACAACAACAGTAGAGAACGCACTCACAACAGTTAAAGGAGAGAACATAGTGCATGCGGGAGTTGCAGGAGGAAATCCTATATCATCACCTCCAGAAGAACGTGTTGATTCCCGCAAACAGGATGGCGAAGGCACCACGAGTGAAGATAAAAAAAATGTTCCGTCGCCTGAGACCGCGGCCACACCACAAAGCCACCGAGACGAAGGCTAAGAAGGGACTGGAGAAGATACAAAAGCAACGACAGTAACCGCCAACACAACTGATACGACGAACACACAAAACAGTGACGGCAGCACCGCGGTCTCCCACACCACCTCCCCTCTTTTGCTTCTTCTTCTTGTTGCGTGTGCGGCTGCGGCTGCGGTGGTGGCCGCGTGAGAGTGAGTGTGAGAGAGCCATGCACCGCCCGCACACACACTCGTCCTTCTCACTCTCTCTGTGTGTGTGTTCTCTTGCATGGACTCTCGCCCTCACCTCACCCCACGAGGCACACACAATAATGTGCCCATTGTATATATGCATGCACACCCATGCAGGCCTGTTGGTGCTCTCTTTTGCACGAAACGCACCGCTGCCGTCCTGCCTGGCTGCATGGGCGGAGCACCGTAACTGTTTCTGTTTTGTTTTTATTGCATTGATTGGGCGACCTCTCTCTCTCCCTCTGTGTGTGTGTTTTGCTTTACGGGAGTAATGAGAGTGTGTGTGCGCTGGTCGTCCCACGCTTCGGCTTTTTGTTTTGTTTTCCTTTTTGATTTTGTGGTTGAGTGCACCCATTCCGCGGCTGCGTGTGTGTGCGTGTGTGATGATGTGAGTAATTTGCGTGTGTGCTATCTGCCTCTCTCTGCCGTTGCTTTCTTTGGACTCTTTCGTGCCGCACAGCTGCGCTGCAAGTATAGGCGCTGCCAAACACACACACACACACACATACGCTATGCTGTATACGCTGAGGATCACGTACACGATTTTTGTTGACCTTGGGAGGAGGGATGACGGAACACCGAAATTTGTTTTGTTTCTGTGCTAAGGGCATGTTTTTCTTGTCGCGCAGCAGTTGACTAACGTGGTGTGGCATTGAGGGTACCTGGGAAAAGTGAGCATGGATTCTTGCCCAGCGGCTGCACTTGCCGACGTGTTTCTCCCGCTGTTCATGCACCGACGAAGGATTCTCCGGCTGTGCGGGACGATGTGCGATGGAGGGCGGTTGTTCTCTTTTACATCCCGCTGGTTGTTTTGTGTGTGGGCGTCGCCTGGTGTGTGCTGACGCGTGACGAGTGGCACACCCGCTGTGGCTTTTGCTGCTGGTGGTGGCAATTGCTGTGTGTTCCCGGTGCACTGTTCTTCCTTTTCTTTCCGTGTGTCTGTGTGCGTGAGTTGTCGTTGTTGGGAGTGACTGCGGCGGGGATGATGGTGCCACTCACAGTGTGGATGGGTGAGGGTGCTCGCTGTTATGCCACTGTTGTGGATATTTTTTCTCTTTATTTTTTTCTAAACACAAAGAGGGAAAACAATCGCTAATCGCTTCTGTGAAATTCGAAGGCACTGAAAGGACCAACAGCACACACACACACACATATTTATATGCTCTCACGTGTTGCTGCAGTGCAGGCACCACGCACACACAACCGTCGTCGCGTGACCGGATCCAGCGGAAGGACGAGGGAAGGAAGAGAGAGTGAGCGGCAGAGGCCCAACATGTCCCGGCGTGTGTTTGCTTCCGCGGTGCTGCTCCTCCTCGTCGTGGTGATTTGCTGCAGCAGTGGTGGAGCTACGCAAGCTGTGGAGCCGTCGTCTGATCCGAAGTTTGAATGGAAGGACGCTAATGAGGAGGGCGTAAGTGTGAAATCGTTGGGTGTTCCCGGCCTTTTGAAAGTGGGGAGTGACGTATTTGCCGTTGCCGAGGCGCAGTGCAGGAAGAAGGATGGAGAAGATAACTTTACTGGCATTGCATCCCAACTTCTCACGATAAAAAACGATAACACACCGGAGGAAGTGCTTACGAAAGCCAGAGTGATACGAGTTCTGGAGGAAGTCGCTCCCACAAGCAAGGAATTGGATGTGAGCGGACCAACAACGGTTGTGAGGGAAAGTGATATTTACATGCTTGTTGAGAAATACAGCCGGAATGCTGCCGCTGATGCTCGGGAGAGTGCTGCAGCTCAATCGGAAATTTTGCTGGTGAAAGGTACAGTCAGTGATGAAGAAAGTAACAAACAAATTGAGTGGAAAGATACCAACGCTGTCCCGACGACACCTTTGGGCGAACAACTTTCATCCTTGACAGGACTGATTGGCGGCGGTGGATCGGGTGTTAAGATGGAGGACGGTACACTTGTGTTTCCCGTGGAAGGCACGAAGGGGGAAGTTGGGCAGAAGGAAGCTGCGGGTGGAAAGACTTTCTCACTGCTCATGTACACTTTGGATACTTCGAAGAAAATTGAGAGTTGGAAGCTGTCGAAGGGGATGTCTGCCGATGGCTGCAGTGATCCCTCCGTCGTGGAGTGGGAGAAGGACAAACTCATGATGATGACTGCGTGTGGTGATGGCCGCCGCAGGGTGTACGAGTCCGGCGACAAGGGGGATTCGTGGACGGAGGCACTCGGGACACTCTCGCGCGTGTGGGGAAACAAAAAGGAAAATGAGAAGGCCGTTAGAAGCGGGTTCATAACAATGACTCTTGACGGTGTTGGAGATGAGCAGAAAAATGTGATGCTCGTTACTCTGCCGGTGTATCCCAAAGAAAAAGAAAAGGCGAACTCCACCTTTGGCTGACGGACAATACGCACATTGTTGATATTGGGCCGGTATCCGGGAAGGACGATGACGCTGCCGCCAGCGCCCTGCTGTACAAAAGTGGAACTGATAGCAATAATAATGATGAGTTGATTGCACTGTACGAAGAGAAGAAGGACGATGAGAAAGAAAAACCATCGCCCGGTATGGTCTCTGTGCGTCTGACTGAGCAGCTGCAGCGTGTGAAGGATGTGCTGGAGACCTGGAAGGAAGTGGACGAACGTGTCTCCAAGCCGTGCCCTTCTGAGGGCGTTCTGCAGGCTACCTCACCTGACAGTGCCCGCAAAAACACTAAGGTCACGGATGGGCTGGTTGGCTTTTTGTCCGGCAACTTCTCTGATGGCACATGGAGGGACGAGTACCTCGGGGTGAACGCCACAGTGAAGGGAGCGAAAGAAGGAGCGGCTGCAGGGGTAGCAGAGACTGCAGAGTCTTCAGATGGAGTGACGTTTCGGGGTGCGTGGGCGGAGTGGCCCGTTGGCGCGCAGGGGGAGAATCAGCTGTACCACTTTGCGAACTACAACTTCACTCTTGTGGCGACGGTGTCCATCGACGGTGTGCCGACGAAGGAGGGAGATACCCCCATTCCATTGATGGGTGCGAAGATGAATGGCGATGATAAGACTGTTCTCCTGGGACTGTCGTACAGCAACGACGAAAAAAAGTGGCAGGTGCTGTGCGGTGGGGAACCGACGGAGATGCAAAACCGCATTGAGGGGCAAGAGAAAACACACCAAGTGGTCATTGTGCTGCAGAACGGCACTCAGGGCTCCGCGTACGTCGATGGTAAGCGTGTGGGTGAGCCATGTAAATTGGAGAATACGAATTCTAAAGGGATCTCCCACTTCTACATTGGAGGGGACGGAAGCAGCACAGAGGGCCAAGGAGGCGTGTCTGTGACTGTGTCGAATGTCCTGCTGTACAACCGCCCGTTGGATGACAATGAGATTACTGCGCTTAACACAATTAAAGCACCGATTACGCCTCCGAAGGAAACAAGTGCGCAGGAAGTCGTGTTGCCTTCTCCTGGCAGAACACCGCATGCGGGACAGGAACCTTTGAATGGAGGTGAAGGTGCCGACGGTGGCAGTGCATCCCCATCAGCAGTGTCCGCTTCAACGACTTCCGTACCTGTGGGGCAATCTGTGAACCAACTCGCGCCAGGAAAGCCTCCCGATGGAAATGCAGATGTGGATGGCGCTCCCTCGTCTAGCGGTAACCCAACGGTGGGGGAGGGGAGTGCAGATACGATACAGGGGGATGGACCGCACACACCTTCCGTGGGTAATACCGCCGCCGCCGCCG